CTTGGGGAAGGCAACTGGCATGTAGGGGAGCCTGCTTCCACCTCCTCCACTGGTCAGGACAGAATTCCTCCCATGCCTCAGTAGCCCACCCACGTCCCCCCCGCATGCTGCACCATCCCTGGAACTCCTGACCTGATCCTGGCCTTGCATTCTTCCCTGGAGACAGCAGGACTTGCAGGGCTCATTGGAGCAGGCTGGTGTGGGGCCAGCTGGGCTTGGCTAAGGTGCTCCCCACAGTTCCAGCCCCTGTGTGGTAGGGCACCTTCGGTGCTTGCCAATGTTAGAGGCTTGAACAGGCTGTGGAGCAGCCAGCAGGTGTGGTGTGGCTTAATGAGGTGGTCACATGACCACAAGAGGGATCCTGGATTGGAGGATGGGGCTGGGCAGCCTCAGTATAAACCCAGGCCCTCAGAACTAAGTAGGCAGTTGCTGTAGGGAGCCAGAGGGATAACACTGCCAGGTTGGAGTCGCTGCTCTAAGAAGACCTGGAGGTTCCTGGTCCTGGGGAATGACCTAAAACTACACCCTGCTAGGATTGGATGGTGTGTTGGGGCTGCCTGTAGTGGGGTGGTCCCCAGTAAATACCACACTAGTGCCTCCCTAGTGAAAGGTGAGGATGGGTGGCCATATATCCTCAGCCCCCATGACCTGGTGGGTTACCCCATAAAAGGTAGCTTTTCCCTGCGGACATCAGTTCCTTCAGCAGCCAACTGGTTTCTACAGTTAGGGGGGTTCTTTCCCCTTGCCCCCATAGCCAGCTGGGTAACTGGGCTCTGGGAGGCCTCCTCACCTACTGTCTCCACCTTCTTGCTTTGACTGCGAGTCACTGCATTAATGCAGAGGGGTTCTATAACGTTCTCCCATGCTGCACTCATATGCTTGGGTCCCATAATATCCCTCCCCATCAGCAGGGGGGCAGGAGCATCCTCCATCACTCCTTTCTGCGGGCACATTCCCCTGCCCCTCCGCTCAATGGGGAGATGTGCTACCTGTACCTCGAATGGGTGGTGCCCCACCCGTTCTGTGGTAAGGGTTTTTCCAGGAACTATGTCCAAGGGTGAAACGAGGTTGGCATTAATCAATGACACACAGGGCCCTGAGTCCACTTCCCTGATGATGGCTCTCCTGTGTCCTTTTATCTCCTCCCTATGGGAGGCCATTAGCTCCTGTGGGTTTGTAATCCTGAAGATACAGATATGCCCCTCAGAGTGGCTTGGGGTTTCCTCCTCTTTGCGTACAGCTGTTGTTCGGTTGATAGGCTTACTGGGGTTGCTTTGCTTTGGGTAGCTGGCCCTGAAGCGGCCAGACACCCGCAGTTAAAGCAACACTTCCTACAGTGGCAACACGTAGGGGGTGCACCTCCTGATAGCCAATGTTCCTGGGCAGGTGAGAGCGCTGGTGGCCCTCCTGAGAGCACTGGCCAGGGAGTGGGGTGCCAGGAGAAGCAATCCCCACAGCCCCCCGCAGCCGATTGCACTCACCTGGAAGTGCCAGGGATCGGCCTCAGGGGGGCAGGGAGGGACCCCCCAGCCAGTGTGATTGGCTGTGGGGGGAACCCCCAATGCTGACTGGCCACTGGGGGGGGGGGCAAGTGCCCCCCCAACTCAGGAGGCACCAGTTGCCCATGCCTTCTTACTTGATCTGGGTGGATTGGCTGAATCCAGGGCCACCCTGCGCTCTGCAAAAGGACCTCAATCTCCCATTAGGGTCTGGTTCTCCCTTCCCCCCCACCCCTCCCCTTTCTGGTCCTTCCTAAAGTGGGGAGGCCTTCTGTCCAGCCCCTCCCAATTTAGCAACAGCTGATCAGCAATGTTGGCAGACTCACTGGCTGACTTGGGCTCCTTATCCCTGACAAGATGTAAAATCTCCTGAGGGCACCCAAAATAGAATTGATCTAACACCATAAGATCCAGCACCTTATCTCTGGTGTCAGCTTTTGCTCCCTCCACCCATTTAAAGAATGACTCCCACAACTGGACCATAAACTCGGCTATAGCCTTTCCCTGCTGTGGGGCAGCTGTGCAGAACTTCTTCCTGAAATGATCTGGCATTGTTTGGCCTTGTGCTTGCGCTGCACCACTTGCACTTCTAGCTCCAGCTTGCACTGTGCCTCTTGGGCTTCTAACTCTCACTTACACAGTTTCATACTTTCACTGTGCTGTCTGGGCTTCTAGCTCTAGGGCCTAGAGGCAATTCTTCTCCTTGAGCAGTTCCAGCTCCTCGGGGCTCCTTGTCTGAAACCAAAGGGAAAGGGCTCCTTTGGCTCTGCTCCCACTCAGAACCAGGGTGGCGGGTCCCTGGGTTTGATCATTGACCCGTTGGCTGTATTTCAAAGAAGGCCTACTGAGAGTGCAGGAGCAAACCAACCTGATGTGCAGGAAGACCAACAAGTATGGCAGAAGACCAGCTTGGCTTAGCAGGGAACTCCTCAGTAAATTAAATCACAGAAAGGAAGCTTATAAAAAGTGGAAACTTGGACAAATGACCAGGGAAGAATATAAGACCATTGCTTGAGCTTGCAGGGATGAAGTCAGGAAGGCCAAAGCACAGTTGGAGTTGCAGCTAGTAAGGGATGTGAAGGGTAACAAGAAGGGTTTCTACAAGTATGTTGGTAGCAAGAGGAGGATCAGGGAAAGTGTGGGTCCCTTACTGAATGGGGGAGGCAACCTTGTAACAGAGGATGCAGAAAAGGCTGAAGTCTTCAATGCCTGTTTTGCCTCAGTCTTCACAAGCAAGGTCAGCACCAGGCAGCACAAGTTTGGGGAGGAGATGAGCAGCCCTCCGTGGTGAAAGAACAGGTTAGGGACTACTCAGAAAAGCTGGACGTGTACAAGTCCATGAGGCTGGACGGGAAGCACCCAAGGATGCTGAGGGAGTTGGCTGATGTAACTGCAGAGCCATTGGCCAGCATCTTAGAAAACTCACGGCGATCAGGAGAGGTCCCAGATGATTGGAAAACAGCAAACATAGTGCCCATATTTAAGAAAGGGAAGGAGGAGGATCCAGGGAACTAGACACCAGTCAGCCTCACCTCAGTCCCTGGAAAAATCATGGAGCAGATCCTCAAGGAATCCATTTCAAAGCCCTTTGGAGGAGAAAAAGAAAAACAGGAACAGTCAGCATGGACTCACCAAGGGCAAGTCATGCCTGACCAACCTGTTTGCCTTCTATGATGAGATGACTGGCTCTGTGGATGCAGGGAGACTGGTGGATGTGGTGTACCGCCCCAGGTCCAGATGGAGTAGTTGCCCCCTGCAGCTGCTGTTAGAGGAGCAGGCACACACTGGGACCTACACCTTGGTGCATTCTTCCAGCAATCGTTCCTTCCTTCCTAAAAGCCCCTCCTGTCCTCTCACTGGGTGTCCCAGTCATCTTAGTTTCATAGTTGGTAGGTTTGGAAGGGACCTAAGCAGATCATCTAGTCCGACCCCCTGCCATGGGCAGGAAAGGATGCTGGGGTTAAATGACCCCAGCTAGGTGGCTGCCTAGCCTCCTTTTGAAGACCCCCAGGGTAGGGGCAAACACCACTTCCCTTGGAAGTTGGTTCCGGATCCTAGCTGCCCTGACTGTGAAGTAGTGCCTCCTGATATCTAGCCTGAATCTACTCTCAGTCAACTTATGGATGTTGTTCCTTGTTACTCCCAGCAGGGCTTGGGGGAACAGGGACTCTCCCATTGCCTGCTGACCGCCTTGGCAAGTTTATAGATGGCCACCAGATCCCCTCTCAGCCTTCTCTTGTGGAGGCTGAACAGGTTCAGGACTTGTAGTCTCTCCTTGTAGGGCCCGCCCTGCTGCCCCCGATCATGCGGGTGGTCCTCCTCTGGACCCTCTCAACGCTGTCCACATCCCTCCTGAAGTGCGGCGCCCAGAACTGGATGCAGTACTCCAACTGTGGCCTGACCAATGTCATATAGAGGGGGAGGATCACCTCCTTGGACCTGCTCGTGATGCATCTATGGATGCATGACATGGTGCAGTTAGCCTTCCTGACCGCATCCCTGCATTGGTGGCCCATGTTCATCTTGGAATCAATAGTGATTCCAAGATCCTTCTCTGCCTCTATGCTGATGAGAAGGGAGTTCCCCAGCCTGTAGGTATGCTGCTGGTTCTTTCTCCCCAGGTGCAACACCTCGCACTTGTCCATAGGGAAACCCATCCTATTCTCATCTGCCCACTTCTGTAACCTGTCCAGCTCTAATTGTAGCCTGTCCCTCTCTTCTAGCGTGCCCACTTCTCCCCACATCTTAGTGTCATCTGTGAACTTGAACAAGGTGCTTTTCACCCCCTTGTCCAAGTTGCCGATGAAGATATTGAACAGTGCAGGCACGAGGACTGAGCCCTGGGGAACCCCTCTTCCCACATCTCTCCAGGTCGAAAATGACCCATCCACCACCACTCTCTGGGTGCGGCCCTCCAGCCAATTTGCGACCCATCTGACTGTAGTTGTCGACACCACAGACACCTAATTTTTTAATGAGGATGGGGTGAGAGTGTCGAAGGCCTTCCTAAAGTCCAGAAAGACTATGTCCACCGCGACACCTGTGTCCAAGGCTTTTGTGACCTGGTCATAGAAGGCCACCAGGCTGGTCTGACAGGACCTGCCTCTAATGAACCCGTGTTGGTTGCCCCTAAGCATAATCTCCCCTGCTTGCCCCTCGCAGATGTGCTCCTGGATAATTTTCTCAAAGAGCTTCCCCAGGACCGAGGTAAGACTAACTGGCCTATAGTTTCCTGGAGGCCCTTTCCTCCCTTTTTTGAAAATGAGGACCACATTGGCCCTTTTCCAGTCCTCTGGCACCATGCCAGAGCACCACGAGTGCTCGTAAAGCTGTGCCAGGGTCCCCGCAATGACCTCTGCTAATTCCCTCAGTGCTCTGGGGTGGAGATCGTCAGGACCTGCTGATTTGAACACATCTAGTCCCTCCAGAAGTTTCCTGACTAGGTCCTCTCTGACCCTGGGCCTGTCTGTGCCACCCCTGGGTCTGTCCTGGGATGTCCCAGTCCCTGCTCAGAAAAATGGAAGCAAAGAATCTGTTAAATAGGTTAGCTTTGTCATCTGGTGCTACCACCAGATTACCAAGCGTGTCCTGCAGAGGCCCCACATTATTTGGCACCTTCTTTTTACCCGCTGTGTATTTAAAAAAGGACTTCTGTTATCTTTGATCCAGGTTGCTAGTCCCAGTCCCATCTCTGCCTTAGCCTTCCAAGTAGCCCCCCCTACAATCTCGAGCCAAAGAAGTTTTAATCCTCCTTGGTGATGGCCCCTCCCTTCCATTGGGTGTACACCTCCTTTTTGGCTTTGAGGCATTCGTGGATACTTTTGGCGAGCCATGGGGCCTTTTGAGTCCTCTTGCCCCCTTTGATCCGCATGGGGATTGTCACGCTTTGGGCTTGGAGGATCATCTCCTTAAGGAATGACCACTCTTCTTGGACTCCCAACTCCCCTCCCCTCTGGGACCTCAGTGCCTCCCTGATTAGTCCCCTTACCTCATTGAAATCCACCCTCCTGAAGTCCAGGGCTGCTGCCTTGCAGCAGGCCTTTGACACCCTGCGCTGGATGGTGAATCCCAGCAGGCGATGGTCGCTATCACCCAGGTGGTCAACCACCCGCAGACTCCTCACCAGGTTGCCTGTGGCCAGGACCAGGTCCAACAAGGCATTTCCCCTGCTGGGACCGTGCACCTCCTGGGTTAGATGGAGGTCCTGTAACTCGGCTACGAACCTACATGAGCAGTCAGACCTGGCTGACTGCTCTTCCCAGCACATGTCCGGGTAGTTTAAGTCACCCATGATGACCACGTCCCTCGACTTAACTGCCTCCGTGAGCTGACCTGAGAATTCCCGATCCAGCTCTTCTCCCTGGTTAGGTGGCCTG